TCAGCTCATGCTTGTGAGTTGGATGAAAGTCTTCAACGTGTCCTGGCCCCAGAACCATTGCATGGTAACCATGTAACCATGCTGCCTGTTAAATTCATTTATGGAGCTGAAGAAATACCTCTGGAGCCCTTCTTGATAGACACCTGGTCCCCGAGTACCACATAAAACAATTACCTGGCTGGCGCTTGGGAAATTTTCCATGGCGCTCATTCAATTTACTCAATATATACTTAAAATTAACATGGAGATTCAGACTGTTGCCATTCCACGAGGGGCTGGCTAGCTGGTCAGTAAGGGCAGAGCCTGAAGTCTGGGGAGAGCCAGTGCCTGGCCACACTTTCTGCATCTGAGTGCTCCATCTGCAGCCTAGCCTCACAATTTGGGGTGCACTTGGATCCCTACCCAGTCCCAGACTCTAAGCCCACACTGTCCAGGTCTGAAGAAGAAGATGTTGTCCAGCAGGCAGAGAGGCATATGCAGGGGACTATAAATAAGGACTTCAGGGGCTGGTGGAGGGGCTCAAGTGGTAGAGTGCCTGCCTAGCAAGTGTGAAGCCCTGAGTTCAAACCCCAGTGCTGCCAAAAAAAAAAAAATGCTAAAAAATGTCCATATATTCAAGGACAGGGACAAGGAATGGACTGTACATGGCACTGGACGTGAAGTTGGCTGTGGTGGGCAGTGATGCTGAGTGGTCAGAGATGGACTGTCTGGGTGGAAGTGACCATGGACTACTGCTGGCTTATCCCCAATGACCCTTCCAATGCCAGTGGGTTTCTCAGACAATCAGTGCACAGATCCCAGCTTTCTAGTTCAGCAGAATTAAAGGTCAGTGTGCTCTGCCTCCGCTCTGCCACATTCTCAGAGTGAATTCCTGCCTGAGCGATGGCCCCTGTCACTGCTCTTGGCCCCGTTGCTGCTCGGGCTCCCATCCATGCTAATCAGGTTAGGAGGCCCCTCCCCCTGCAGACCCCACATCAATGGGTCCCCAGCCACTAGCAGTGCTGGAGCCCCAGAGCCCCTGAATCAAGAGTCCTGTTCAAAGCATGATCCCAGGAGATAAGATGCTATCGGTGTCCTCCTCTGGCCAGTATGGGAGATATGTTGGACTGCAGATGCCTTGGGGCCCCCTAGCTCAGGCTGCTCTGAGCTATAAATCCTGGCTGGAAAAGGCTTCTTCCTGCCCTCTGCCCCTTCCTCCATTAACTCTGTCCATCTATTTAACTTCTTGGGAAAGGAATAAAGAGAAATCAAAACTCAGGCTGAAGCCATCAATTTAACTAGAAACAGTGAGTGCCCTTTAACGAGAAAAGTGAATATTGATCTAAGAAGGGCTTCTTGCTCAGGGGAATTCCTCATCACGGCATCCTTTTAGGACAAGGCAGAACGTTTGACCTGGCCATAACCCGCACAAAATTCAAACTTGGGTTTAATGCACAGTAAATGGGAGCATTTGTCTTCCTTTGAGGCTGGGGAATGCCAGTTAATTTAACAAAGTGGTTCTGATTTAAACATTTTTATTGCTAAGTATAATGATTCAGAATTATAAAATGTAATAGCAGAAAGGACCTTACAGGTAACAGCTCTGTGTAAGGACAACATTTCAGGAGTCACTAGGCTCCCATTCAACCTCTGTTAGGATAGTTGCTTTCAACCTATTTATTTATTTATTTAGACTGGAGTTTGTACTCAGACCCTTGTGCTTGCAAAGCAGACGCTCTACTGCTTGAGCCATACCTCCAGTCCATTTTGCTCTGGTTATTTGGAGATGAGATCTTGTGAACTATTTGCCCAGGCTCGCCTTGAATTGCAGTCTTCCTGATCTAAGCCTCCTAAGTAGCCTGGTGGTACTGGGGTTTGAACTCAGGACCTCACACTTGCTAGGCAGGCATTCTATCACTTAAGCTACACCCCTAGCTCTGCTTTTGTACTTTTTATTTGCTTCTATTTTATTTATTTATATTTGTGGTGCTGGGGACTGAACCCAGGACTTTGCACATACTCAGTAAGCAATCTGTCACTGAAACATCCCCAGTCCTTTATTTGCTTTTAATAATGCTTTTTTTCATTTGCTTGTTGATTTACTAAAAATGTTTTGCCTTGTAGTAGAAAGCATCAATGACTGCTTCCTCTGAGCCAGACACTGTTCTGGTCCTGACAAGTGTCAGCTTATTCTATCCCCATGACCACCCTCTGCAGAAGGACCATTCTCCTCCCTGCTGTACAGGGAAATGGAGGCTCAGAGACATTAAGTAACTTGCCCAGAGTTCATGAAACTAGCTGGGGGTTTGAACACAGGCAGTCTGGCCATCCAGAGTTCATGTGTCAAGGACACAGAAGAGCAGCTTCACGACCTCACTGCAGGGGTCCTAGACTAAAATCAATGCAGAAGGGCAGGCATGCTGAGGCCCTGCGTTTGGCCCCAGCACCACCAGGGCAGGGAACACACAAACAAGCAAAAAAGCAGAAAGACAAACGGGCTCTGGTTTATGACATTGCTGTTACTCCCCGCTTTCCTGTTTGCTTTTGGTATTGACCACTCCAGCATCTTGTGTGTGTATTTGAGACAGGGGAGGGAGGGTGAGGAGAGAGAGAGAGAGAGAGAGAGAGGTGGAAACTGAGGCTCAGGAAACCAGCTGGGGCTTTGAGGAGAGGAGGCGTTTGCCTCTACAAAGATGTGTACATGAACATCTGTATGTATCACGATGTCTGTGAAGAAACAACTGAGTATTCTGGATTCCGCGGAGCTCAGAACTGACTCCAACAACTGTCCAAAAGGAACTGCAAGAAACACTCTTTCCACATCCAGCAAAATGCCACACACAAAATCCCTTCAGCAGGAGGCCACAACTTAGCTCCCAAACTGTGTGAGTGATTTAACCAGCATTTTGTAAACAGGAATGTTTTCTGAAAGGAGTAGAGTCTTAGCTGTCAGCCAGAGGCCTTCGTGCCTTAGAGGGTGACCCAGCCTGGGGTAAGCCCTCCCCAAGAGACACCACTCCAACCCCACTGGCAAGGAAAACACCAGGCCTCAGGAGGGCTTTGTCCAGACAGCTTCCCTCCTCACAGATGGTCAGGCCCTTGGGCAGAGGGTCCAGCCCTCCCCTTCCCCTCCCTGCCCCAGCCCAGCCTTACCCGGCAGTACTCATCGATGGGCTTCAGCCTCTTCACAGCCACATCCCGGATGTGGCTCCTCCGGAAGAGGATCTTGCCTGGAAGAGAGATGCTCATGAGCTGTGTGATTCTGGCTGAGCTGCCACAGGGACCCACCCAGGCCCCTCCCCTTTATCTTCTCAGCATCTTAGCTGGCTACCACCTGCTCCCACTGCTGCCCACTGTTAAGGAAACAAGAGAGGAGTGGTCACCTCTCCCTGGGGGCAGGAAGCGCCCACGGCTGAGTGCCCAGGGCCTCTCGCTGGAGGCTGCCATCTTGGGCTTCTGTGAACAACTTGGCCAAGTCACTGTGTCTGGGTCTACGGCAGGATCAATGCCCAACATGGGGCTGGCTTGCAAGTGACCTCACAAATAAATATAAAAGTGTGACCCAACCCACATGCTATGTTCTGTGTTCAGGCCCATCCCTCCTTGAGAAATCGGCATTCATTTCTGCCAGCCAGGCAGGAATTCCTATTCTTAGTTTGGGTGGGTGGCTATTTCCAGGGCGGAAACAAGCCATCGTCAAGGGATCATGACTGCCCCAGCCTGACTGTGGCCTGGCCTCTCTGTACACACAGCCTACAGCCATTCAGGCTGCTGCCAGTGGGTTGGGACATCCATGTACAGGTATGGGCAAGGCTTACAGGAAGTGCCAGCCCTGCAGACCTTTCCAGAAGGCCCTTCCTTGCTGCTGACCTTCAATTGTGATGAATATATCAACGTACATTCCTTTTCCAGTCTGTTAAATTTAGCTGGTTCTTTGTTTTTGTTTTTCGGTGGTGGGGGTGGTCCCAGGGTTTGTAATCTGGGCTGTGAGCTTGCCCGGCAAGTGCTCTACCACTTGAGCCACAGCTCCAGCCTCTACCTGCTTTGTGTTGCTGGAGACTAAACCCAGGGCCTTGGGCATGCTAGGCAAGCACTCCACCTCTGAGCTACAGCCCCAGCCCAGTCTAGTAAATTTAGAATCTGAGTTCACTGGTCTGATGTCCAAGTGCTTACAACTGGCACTTGTGTATCTGATGGATGTCAATGTTCAGAGCCAATGCCCCGTTTCAATAGGCCTTACTTAAGGATTGGTCAAGATGAGATCAATCTTCCCATTTCTAGAACATCCTCAGCACTGTCACTTGCCATATCCTGCTGTGTGTTATAACACTGGTGACCCATCATGGGGCCCGTGGAGCCTGGCATGTGATGAAGGCTCATCCAGAGATATAACTCACATCTGTTGCAGTCTGCCGACTGCCCTCTGAAGTCCTTCTTCATTCCCAGTCCTTGTGGAGCTAATGGGGCTAACCCCTTCCACTCCCCCAACAACAGGGGAGCCTAGTTGACCAGAATCACAATGACTGGCTCAGGGATGGGCAGGTCAACCTGCACCAATGAGAGTCAGCCCTAGACTTCTCCCAGTGGCTAAACTGGGAGAAAGCCTGGCACCTCAGGTAGACAACTTTATTATTGCCTGAGAAACAAATGGAACAAGAGAAAGGAACTGTGCCTGGCACAAGTTTGTGCTCAATAAGTGCTTCTTCTTCCTCTACTTTTTTTTTTTTTTGGGTGGGACTGAGGTCTGAACTCAAGATTTTGTGTTTGTAAAACAGGTGCTCTACCACCTGAGCCACACCTCCAGTCCAATTTGGTCTGGTTATTTTAAAGATGGGGCCTTGTGAACTATTGGCCCAGGCTGGTCTGGGACTATGATCCTCCCAATCTCTGCCTCCCAAGTAGCTAGGATTATAGGCGTAAGCAAACAAAGGCTTCTTGAATGATTAAAAAGCAGAGCCAAGAGATGGTGAGGAAAAGATTCCTTTACATCATTTCAGTAGCTGAAATGAAATTCTGTACCTGGTACTTTTCACGTGTGTTAACAATAATGTTCTTTTTATTTAAGCTAGTTGGAGATGGATTTTCACCACTTGCAATAAAGGGGTCCCATTGCCTGTGAGAAAATACATAGGCTGAATGTTAATCCATTCGAGCGTCTGTCAGGGTCCGAGTAAGATACTAAGAAAAAGGGAAACATTAACGTGGTTTAGGTTACTTCCCAAGAAGCCACCCCAGAAACAAGTCTTATGTAGGAGGCAATCCCCAAAACCATCACTGGGGAGAAGGAGAGTAAGGCAGGGCAGGGCAGGGGGAATAGTCAAGATGGCTGCTCTCTGAGAACAGCTGTAACCCAGTCCTGCTGGGGATCTCCAAGAAATGATACAGAACACACCTGGTGCCGGGGGTTCTTACTGAGAAGGACATCAATTCTGGCCAAGAGGGTTCCCTCAGGTGGAGCCCCATTTGTACTGGGAAGCAGTCTTTAGCATGCAGAAGGAAATAGAGGGGGCATGGGGCCACAAAAGCAGCTTTTGCAGCCATCCTGGTGTAACTGCCCCCCCAGTTTTGGTCACTAGCCCTGCCTAGGTCAGACAGGGGTCACCTGTGTGACTCACTTCCCACTTGCACATCCTGTGGCCCCTTCCCTGTGCTCACACACTGCACTCAGCATGGCGGGGCACATAGCAGATGGCCAGGAAGTACCTGCTGGAGCCTCGCTTTTCTCCCCAAGCCTCCTCCCCAAGCTCTCCTTCCTCCCATGTTCCCAGGAGTCAGAGCACAGCCACCTCCCTGCAGACAGGCTGCACTGTGCAGTGCACCTTGTCACCAAGACAAAGAGCTCTGCTGTGTGTTTCTTTGGAAATGAGATAACGGTGATTTATCAATACAGTAGAGATGCCACCACTTTTCCTAGGGGAAGACATCACAGATTTGGTTCTTCTTCACCTCCTATCCTTTTTTGGTTGCCTGTGGCCTTGTTGCTGGCATGCTATAGGAGCATGTGTGTGCAGCAGTGGGGACACTGGGTAAAACCAATGCCTGGTGAGAGGAGACTCCTCTCAGGACTGACAAGATGATGGGTGGCCCTGGGCTGGAGTTCTGAGCCTTTCCCAGAGCCAGCTGTAAGGAGCTGGAGGTAATCCAGGCCAAGTGGCACCAGTGGTCAAGAGGTACCTAGCAGGACCCTGAAGGGCCATGTGAGGAGCAAAGGAAACATGGGAGTCAGAGGAGGCACTGGGGCCACCCTGAAAACAGAAACCCCGGCCCTTTCTCATCCCATCAGAGGACAAGAAAGGAAAAAGGGCTGGGCCTGCCTTCCAGCCCCACCTTGAGGGTGGCTATACCCCTGGCTGAGCCTTGTACCCCAGAGATGTGGACATTGCTCTGGTCCAGTGGGAGAGATGGAAGTAGTTTTAAAAAAAAATGGCCAAGGAACACTCAGGCCTCCATGAGGTGCAGAAATTCAGAGGAGCGAGGGAGGGGGAGGCAGGCAGGACAGGAAGGCTCTGCCTCACTCCGCATCATACTGGGCTCTGAACATGGGCCTCACTTGACACCACAAGTGAGGCCACCATGCCACCGGGGTGACACCTCTCAGTCCCCTTCACAAGTCTCATAAGGTGAATTTTGGCACAAGTCAGTTGACTTTTGGAATCCCACCAGAGCTGCCCTCTTTCCCGCTGAAATCCAACAGGATCCAGGCTTTCTCTCTTTTCTTAGGCTTCAGTGACCCAAGGGGATGAGGGAGGGTAGGTCTGGAAAGGGTTCCACAGTCTCAACTTCTCTGTGAGGAATCCAAACCGCAGTTGGAAAGCCAAACCGGCAACCGTGTTAAAGGTGAGAAGGGGAGAAAGGAGGTGGAGGAAAACCCCCATTAAGGAAGCTGAGACCACAGAGCTTTAAAGGGTGCTCATCAATGTCCTGCTGCCCCTTTTGGCAGGGCCCTGTGGCTGTCAGTCGTCAAAGCCCTGTGGATGCTCTCCAGAGCACCATAGGCAGATTACACAGGCCTAGGCCTGAAAGAGTGAACTCAGCAGGATTTAACTGGTTCCTGAAAGCTGAAAAGAAAGCCAGTCTGGCATAAATAGCGTGTCTCTCTTCCTGTCAGTTGGAGATGGGACCAGTGAAGGCACAGGGACCTTGAGTGAAGAGTCCTGGGTGCAAGTCCTACCTGGGCTGAAGCAGGCTATGCAACCTTGCAGGAGGTCGCTCCTCCACTGGGGCCTCTGTGTTCTCACCTGGAGCCTGAGGCTCCATGGCTGCTCCCTTCAGCTCTGAGGTGGCCTCACAGTAGTGTGGTGGACCCAAGAGGGGCAGAGTAGGAGCAGTAGCAGCTGGGCTTATTCCATCCTGCACTTCTAGAATTTTTCATTAGGCTTCTTGCTCAATCCTGGCACTAACCCTGATGCAGGTGCTTTGACTAGGCCCATTTTGTCCAGGAGGAGATGTAGCTCTGAGGTTGAAGGACCTGTCCAAAGTTACATAGATATTAAGCGGCTGAGTTGGGATTTCAACTTGGGGTTTTTAAGCTTGGGGACCGGGGCGGGTGGGGAGAGAGGGTTCTTTGGTTCAGATCCTGTGAGGCCTTAAGAGCCATGGTGAGGGCTTTGGATTTTATTCTATGTGAAGGGAGGTCAGAACAGTCAGTCCCACAGGCCAACCAGAGTCTTCTGTGAAAAGTTGTACCTATGGGTCCCCATGGGTCAGGAGACTGGGGATACTGGAAGAGCAGGAGCAGTAAATGACTCTGCTGTCAGGGAGCCACACCTTGGCCATGACCAGTTCTGTGGCAACCTTCACGAACCAGGTATGTGTTCTACAAGTGGACTAGTACCCAAGTGTATGGGGTAACCAGAGGGCTCTGGCCACAGAGGTGAGAGGGAGCTAGCCTCGGGACTTCTTCTGGTCTGAACAGGCTGATCTATTCCTGGCAGCCTTCCCCTTCAAAGTACACAGTGTCAGCTTGCCATGGTGGCATGCACCTATAGTCCCAGCTACTTGGGAGGCTGAGACAGAATGGTCACTTGAGTCCTAGCTATTCAAGAGGCAAAGATCAGGAGGATCATGGTTTTGCCCAGCCTGGGCAAATAGTTTGGGAGACTCTATCACAAAAAAACCCATCATAAAAAAGGTGTACACCCTGAGTTCAAGCCCCAGTACCGTAAAAAACAAAAACAAAACACCCATTCAGCCATCCATCCATCCACCCACCCAGGGCCATCTTAGTGGAGGCCAGCTGTGTTGGGTTTGTTCTAGGAGTATTGCAGTGAATATGACACGCAGGCAAGACTTTTCTCTCAGGTGTTTACATTCTATTTGGGGAGGACACGTACATGGGAGGAAGACAGTAGATTTTTCATAATTAGTGAGTAGTTTGGATATACGTACATCCTACCCTCCCTCCAAACAGGATAATGTGAAGAAGTGCCTGAAGGGTGGGAGAATTCAGAGTGGTCAGGAAAGTCTGTATGAGGTTTAGTGGAGACAAAAAGGAGACAGACATGCAAAGCTGTGCGGTGAGAGGAGGCCACAAAGCAAGAGCCCTGAGGCAAAAAGAGACAGACAGGTTGGGAAGTTAGAAAAGAAGCTGTGTCAGAGTCTGTAAGCCACAGAAAAGAGAATAGTCTTGTTATAAGCCTCCTTGGGCCTACCTACCCAGATTCTGTCCTGTCCCCAAAACATGGATTCCAGGCTGCTTCCTCCAGGAAACTTTTCTTGAATGCCTGCCTCACCCTCCTTTGTCAACCTCCAGATCCCTCCAGGTCAAGAATAGTCCTCCTTAGAGTTACCTTCTCCCTTTTAGGGTGTCCCCCTAATTTATAGACACAGGGTCAGCAACCCCTGGGTGCAGGGAAGGCACCCACTGTGGCCTCCAAAGACACAGATGGTTCCAACCCTGCCTCCCCAGTGAGCCCAGGGAGCCTAGAGGGTCAATGGGAACTCAGGAAGAACCAGGTGGGGACCACAGAAGGGCCATGGAGCTCACAGAGTATACAGTGCAGGGCCCTCATTCTTCCGGAACCCCCATTTTGCTGAGTCTGAAGACACAGAGGAGAGGGGCTGTGCTGGTCTCCTCGGGTGGCTTAGCATGGCAGGGGTTTGTTCCTTCTGGGTTCTGGTTCTGGGAGGCCGGACAGCTAGTGGAGATGTAGGTAGAGCTATGACTCCCCTAAGGCCGCAGAGAAGAACCCTTCCTCACGTCTGCCAGTTCTTCCAGCCATCCGTGGCTGTGGCACATCATTCCAACCCCTGCCTCCCACCTCCTGTGGGTTTCCCCTCTGTCGATCTCAAATCTCCCTACATTTTTCTCCATTACACCTGTCACCGCCATCCTAATTCTAAGATGAGCAGATCTGGAGATCCTTGACATAATCACATCTGTAAAGACCCTTTACCAAATAAGGCCACATCCAACAGTTCCAGGGATGTGGACCTGCACGTATCTGTTTAGGGGCCGCTGTGATAAGAAGTTAAAAGGGAGGACTGGGGCTGGCCAGCCCTGGCAGTCTCGCTTCCCTAACTGATGGCAATTGCCCTGAGAATAGTGACAATTTTTTACACTCTATGCTCTGGCAATGCCTGGCCCTGTGCTGGGTGTAATGAATGTGGGAACCCCGATGCCCTGGAGGGACCAGGGAGTGTCTGGAGAGAGCAGTGAGGCTCTCTAGAGCACTAGAGGAACAAGGGGAGCTGGCAGGAGCTGAAAGTTGAATGAAGGTGGCAAGGGTGTTCCTGCTGATGGGCACCAGAGAGACAAAGTCCCCAGACCAATGACAGGATGTGAGGCTCACTAGAGGCTCCCCAAAAGTGACATGTATGCTTCTGGGGTAACTAGCCACAGGCAATGGGAAAGACAGACTTAACCATCTAGGTTAAGTCTGCTGTTCCCCCAGCAACCTGCAGTCTTAAGACCTGACAATGGGTCCCCATGTAAAGTGGACTAGGCAGTGAACCTGTGTCTGGCTCCCTCATCTCTGTGTGTTTTGAACAGTGTCCAACAGTGTATTTTTTGACCAACTGATGAAGACCGAAATTGCTGAATTTATCAAGAGCCTGGAGCAGAGGAGGGTATGGAAAATATATGGCACAAATCCACTAATGGTTCTTCTTTGT